TACTATTTAAGTTGTGTGTTTACCTCCCATCAGCGCCAGGTTATTTGTGTGTTTTTGTGATACGTTCCCTAGCATTCTGTAGTCTGCCTGTTTTCCTGATATTGACCAGTTTTCTGCCTGATGATTTTGAGTTTTTGCCTTGCCCGTCTGCTCTGTTTGTCCTGTCTGATCCTGGATTCTACCGGCTTCTGAACCTGGAACTGTCTTCTGACTTCGGCCTTGGATTTCCCTTCTGGACTCTGCTCGCTCTCTAGGAACTCTGGGGGCGTCTCCCGCCGCAACATTGGTCAAAGCTCCGCGAACGGACTGAACTTTGAATCAGAGATCCGCCCCGCAGCAGACGAGCAGCACCGCGCACCTGTTTTGTGTAATAAACGCTTTGAACTTTCCCACTGCCTGTCTCGCCTCGAATTCTGGGTCCAATTTCCTGAGATCATTATAGAAACAGTGTATATGAACACCTGTTGTCTGCTCTGGTCACATTCTCTTTAGAGTCTAGAGACAGTATAGAGACAATCTCTATAGATTTGAGAATTGATTCGGACTGTTATTCTAAAATAGTAATGTACCAATATATTAGGGTTGTCTTGTTTGTCATTTTCTGGAAATGGTGTAATCTAAGTGAGATGCAGAGTTTGTATACCCATATATTTCCCATATAGCATATTGTATGAAAGCTTAAAACACTAATAATGATGTCATATGACTCTGAAATCTAGTTTGTGCAAACTGCAATGTGATGAAGGGTGAAAATGTCTAATGTGTATGAGTACTCGTGCAAGGCACTGTAAATGCTTTGCAGAAGTATTTTTTCCAAACAAAACAAACAGAAAAAAGACAAAAACTTAAGCTAAAAAAAAAACAAAAAAAACAAGAAAAAAGCGACAGCCCATCAGCACACCACTTTGTGTGTGAGTGTGTGCTTAGCTGCATACTCCTAATTCCCCTGACGCAAACTGATGATCTAACAACCCACACTGGCCCATAGCCCTGAACTACCCATGACCCGTAATGTTCCTGTCCTTGCCCCTGAAGCCCTATTGGCTGAACCCTCTCACCTGAAACAGTAAGTATCTGTAGTCTTCATCACCTGCCTAATGACCTACGGCAGCAGAAAATATGCCCTGCAGAGTTGGGTGGCCCTTACCATTTGGTATTTCCCATGGGTGTACAGTAAGTACGTTTCCTGAGAAAGCTATTGATCTTTTAGTCTTGGACTGCTAAATATGGGCTTAATTGGGTAAATATTAGAGCATTGTTTGCAAAACAAATTAGGAATAAGTACTAATTAACCACATTCTTGATTTAGTTTTACTTGCCACGTAATGTCACGATAACTCTCAGCTTAAAAAAATCAAGGAATTACTTAACAGAAACATGTCAAACAACAAAATAAAGTAGGCTAAAAGTTAGAAATGCCCACAATGCAATGTTATTTTTCAGTCTGGAAAGGAGTAGTAAAGCCTTTATTGAGGTTTTGAGAGGGAAGTCAAACCACAGTTACTGTAAGTAAATCAAGAAAACATGGAAACATTTTTTTAAAAGTGGCTGTCCAACCAAAAATGATCAGAGTTATGTATAAATTGAATTATATCTGGTGAAAAGTTCAAAGTTAAATGTTCAAACCAATGGTCAAATTGAGGCTCTGGTTTCTTCATTATCTCGAAGGAGAAATTCTCCCCTCTTAAATTGTGACCTTAAAATTGCAATTTTTCTCTTTTTAGGAAGAGCTCAAAGCTTTATTATATTTCCCCTCATTTTCTATAACAAACTTCAAAAGAAATTATATCAACAACATTGGCACAGCCTGGCTGACTTCATTCTAAATTCTTGCACAAATTAACTTTGCAAAAGCAACTTTTTCCCAGACATTCAGATTAGTTTGAAAACATTTTCATCTTAACGAATAAATCGTTATTTGGCAACTGCTTTTTTGCATTGCTTTAGATTCTGTCTAATATCAAAAACTAAATTATTAGCAGAAATATTTAAGCTGTAGCTTAGATAAAAATGAAATAAATCTTTGAAGGGATACATTTTTTGTGTACTGGCAGTAAAAACCCTGGGAGCCCACCTAACTGGCCTTGTTTGGTGTGGGCAGACATCCACTTGCCTTTATGTGCAATTTTGAGCATAATTTCCTAGATTGCATTGTTTAAGAAAAAAGATCAATTCCAATGAAGAAGTGACACTTTTTTGGTTTATTATCGGTAAAAACACTTAAGTAAATAAGCTTTATAATTTATATGTAACAGTATAATTATTTTACACATCACTGAGATGTACAGTAAACACACATTGGTTCTGTTGCTTCGCTGCCAGATGGAAAACAAGACATTGCTGGCAAAATCTGCAACGTCTTCCACTGGCTGTTAGGGGTTGAGCGCAAGATGAAGAACACAGAGATGAGCAAATGAGATATGCAGGAATTAATGAGAAGAAGAGCAGAAGGACTCATCAAGGATCTCTTCAGATTGAGAGAGCACTCATTTGTAGTGGCTCCCCACTGTTATCCCATCTCAGTTGCTCCTCTGGCTCACTCTTTACTGGCAATATTACAAACTACCCCTTCAAATTTCATTCACATCTTTTTATTATTCTCTGTTGCCTTTTTAATTCCAAAATCCATCCATATCCAAGCTATGAATGCAGATCTCTTGGTCATATGCCAAACTGTGATTGCATATTTTTGAAGGCCTTTAAAACAACGGCGAACCAAAGACAAAATTCTTGTTGTATTCACCAACTTGAGTATTCAAACTGACACTGACTCTAAAGGACTGTCTGACATGAAGCCTCTGCTATGAAACTTTTAATACGGCACCATGACATGTAATGTTGACCAGTATTTCTATAGCATTATTTTCCGGTGATCACATGTATGTTTTCAATGTGTATTCTTTTCTTGGGAGCTCTGGTTTAAAAAACTGGAGTACTTCATTACAAATTTAGCAGAGTGAATTCCTGAGCTCAAGTCTCTCCCACACAATTGTTGTCCAGATGCCAGATGAGCACCTTACAATGTTGTGCCAGAACTTGTTCGATAAACAGTGTTTAATGAATATGTTCATATTTTTAGTGAACAGTGAACTGAATGGTCCAGTTTTGAAATCATCACCATGAACAAGAGCGATATTCCCTCTGAGAATAATGAGCAAGACACACAGCTCAAGTTCGCGTTCAGTTTATGACGACACTTTTCATAGAATAACGTCAACAGACCAGCATGTCTGCTGCTAGTATTACTCTGCACAATTCAGACTCATCTACTGGTTTTTCTGATACCAGTTTTGCATAGAGCTTGGCAGAGTTTTATGAACTAACAAAGAAAGAATGACAGAAAAAAAAAAAAATCATGTATTTGTGCACACTGTGCAGACTGAACAAACAAGTCCGTACATTAGCCACGTCCACTTCAAATTTAAAGCGACACATCGTGTTAAAGCATCCAAGCTATCTTGGGAAATATCTGCCACTGAATGAGGAATGTAAGAAATAATTTTTGATATAAATTTTTTTAGCAGAACCTGAAAACACCTGAAGTTCAGTGTAATTTGGCTGAATAAAGGCTTCACTGGGCATACAGTATACTATGACTGCGTCTGCGTAGCCTATATTCCATTTCACTATATATATTATGATCATACATTTAAAGGGTGAAATATGATGTTCTATTTTGTAGGATTGCGGCTTAATTTATCAAATGAACTTGAGCTATTTCATTTCTATGTTTGTGAACTAGGTCATTTTTTGAAAAAGTGAGCTATGAACATGAACTTGTTAATTTTCATCTGTGTGGACTGAACTTTGAGCTGGTTCATTTTAATTATAAACTGACACAACATTGGCAACTTATACAAAATAGACAGACAATGAGATGTGATTTTCACTGCGAGCATATATGCAAATAGGGGTAACTTCTCTTATTATTGGGGAAGTTCCTTAGCCTGGGTGCCAGTCCGAACTTAGTCGAGGTGCTAACGTCTCTGTTAAACACTTTAAAAAACTCTGAAAATGGAATACGAAAGGTGGATTCTTGATTCTCGACGTCGGAGTACACAGAGTGAAGCGAAAAGACTACAACTGCGTAAACAGGCTCCGTTTCCGTTTCCGGTGGCAGCGGAATATTGACTATTCCTACAGAACTCAATGGGATTTACAAAATGCTAAATAAAACACTACAGGAACGTTTTTTCTTCACGAAACTTTTTTTGGAACGTCATTGAACAGCGCTGACGACACGGTGAGTAGCATATTTTAAAAAAAGAACGTTTAAGGTTGTTTTAAGGACATTATCGGACATGCTCTATGCTAGCCATTCTAAAGCAGCCAGGGGTTGATTCTAAATGAGCCAAAAAGCAGAGACAGGAGCAATTGTCAAACTTTTGGTGTCGATCATTCCATTTCATCCTGGACACTACAGAAAATGGGCTTAAAGTGTAAAAAACCGAACTTCTCCTTTAACATACGTCACGCACTCCGTTGCTCTTATTGGTTGTAGGTCTATCCAATTGAGTGCAGAGGCATTTTTTTTCCTGGTTCGTTCAAAACACGCCCCATAATCACAGCTCTATGGAGCAGTATCAGACTCATATTCTGACTAGAATTGAGTCGGACTACGTCAGGCTAGAAGTTCCTGGTATTTTAAGTGTAAAATTGATGGAGTCCTTTACATTCCTGGATTTTTCCAACATGTCTATAAACACTAGAAGCCATTTTATCCATAAATAAAAAAGCAACATAATGAAACCAAAATATAACATGAACCAGGATGTATCTGATGAGAAACACATTAGAAATTCCCTGCTTTCTTTCCCAATGCTATTATTCATAGGCTTCAAAGATGCTATAATTGTGACTTTTACGAATTTATTATCTAATTCAAAGAAATAATAAGGCCAATATCTGTGATAATTCATGTAAATACACTACACTTGATTAAATCTAGACAACATGTATCTACAAGATGAACACCAAAAGAGATCAATAGGAACACTTACTTGTGGAGAGCACTAGGTGGCAGTTTTGTTGTCTTCTCCATCGGGCCATAACAGGATGTCTTGGCTTCAGGAATATCACCGTACTCCACCAACATGGCTGCTGCTGCAGATGTTATGATCCCAAGTCCATCACGAACTCGGGCCTCCAGTGGATAGTCCCAGTCATCATATGACACTGAAATCATCCCTGATGGAAATGTCTCTGGTGTTATTTCGGGGTTCCCAGTGGTGAGTGATGGCACAATCCAGATGTAACCAAATCCAGTCAGGCCCAGAGAGCGTGCCTCCTCCAAAATGTATACTGCTTCATCTTTAGAGCAGTAGAGCAGAACCACTGGAGACTGCACCTTCTTGAGCATGATCTGAGACCGACTGTCTTCCTCCACGGCATCCAAAGTGATGATATTCTGCAGGTCCCATCCCACAAAACTAAAGAAATTGAAAAAAAAAAGAGTAAAATGTTACTATTCATCTAAAAGATTAAGTTTGTTGGAGTGTCGGCTGGGGCAGCAGTAATTACCCATCATAGATGATATTACTGGTCATTGTGGCATGAATCCTGAGAGGTGCAAGGTGCCTACTGTCAGGGGAAATATATTAAAGCTAAATGGAATGTCAATATTAAAGTCTATCCTGGGAAATGTGTCTGAGCAGATTTTAGTTTACAGACAGAAAGCACCAACTTAACAGATCGGTTAGTGATCGGTACTGATTAAAGTCAAAAAGCGCAAACTGTGTAAGTAAGCTAAAAAAAAAAATATATGAAAAAGCATTTAAAAACATTGAACCTTTTATTATGTCATCATCTTAGGGCTTGATCACATGTATAATTTGAGGACAACAACATCATGGTTACACACACAGACCCCCCCACCCCAATAAAACAAGTTTTAAAGTATTTTACTGAAAAGTTGGAGTAAAATTTTATTCCCATAGCTCCAAAAATATAAGAATGGTAATAACTATGACAGAGTTGTCTATTACTTCAATTTATAGTTACTCAGATTTGAATGGAAAGATGTTAGCATGTCCCAGTTTTCAAGGAGAACTGTTAACCTTTTGAAGCTCTCCTTTTAAAAGTAACACATTTTATGATTTATATACCTTTTAGTAAGGTCAATGCATGACTATTGTGAAGTAATACCAAACACGCTGATTCATACATTTTCCACCCGTTTGCTGTTCTAGCCAACTGATAGGTAGTGTCCTATATTTCATATGGCATTTCTATGGCATCTCTCTAAAACCAGTGTAAAATACAGGAATGATGCAAAAAACAATTTCAATAGTTTTGAAATGTTAAGTATATCCAGCTAAAGCCTAATCACACATAAACCAGAAATGTCAAAGCTTGAGTTGGGAAGTAGGCACTCACTATATGACTAATTTGACCCCAGCTAGGTCAGTTTAAGGTCTGCTTTAATACCCCAAAAGGGTTTACCAAATCATCTTTGCAAAATAGAGAAAGGTCAGGTAAACTGAAAAAAGAACATCATCCAAAGGATTTTTAAAGTATTGTGACAAATTCTCAATTCCATTTAAGTCTGATCTTTTATTGAGCCATTTAAAAAGTTAGATTTTTAAATCTTAATAGGTTTCATTTTTGGGCTACAAAGCTGTCAAGTTTGTAGCACTGTTGCTTTGCAGCAAGAAGGTTCTGGGTTCGATCTCCGGCCTGGGGTCTTTCTGCATTGATTTTGCATGTGTGGGTTTTCTCAGCGTATTCCGACCAAAAAACATGACTTGTAGGTTCATTTTCATAAATTGTCCTGAGGTGTGTGTGCATGGTTGTATGTTTCTGTGTTGCCCTGTGACAGACTAGCAGGGTCTTGCCCATAGACTGACAGGTACAGGCCCACCGTGACCCTGATTGAATAAGAGAGAGAAGATGGATGGATGATGGTTTTGATCTTAACCTCAGTCTGACTCAACACTGATTTCATGTCAAATACCGGGGGATACTTAAGCCAAACAGAAAAAGTCAGTCACCAGACAGGAAAGTATTCCAGTAGAATACATAATAAGATCAACCTACAAACTTACACAAATTTTGCCAAGTGCGAAATAAAATCAAAACAGAAACATGTGTATAAGCTGATAGAAAGATAAAAAAGGATAAAATCATATGTATTTGATCATAGATTTTTGCACACCTATAACGAGTTCTGCTCTAGAACTACCAGAAGGGATGTTAACTCATAAACATAAACCTCTTTTCTTGCAGTGCTGTTTCTGCAGAATGTGATCTAGCTGGGCTGTGATGGGCGCTGCTACCAGTCTGAGTGACATTTTGCAGCATGTCTGCAGCAGCTGCATCATAGTCAGTGTTAGATCATATCTGTCTTCTAGGATGGCCTTCATTTTGATTTGAATTATATCTACAAAGAGACTTCACCTTCCCTTATGTGTTTAAAGCCCTGGGGATCATTTCTATACACTCTGATCCTCAGTTACTTACTTAAGTTTTCATTTTGATCTATGAATGCCAGCTTCACTTTTTCCCTCTGAGCTCATTTAAGAGTTTTCCTAGCTGTCTGTGTTTGGGACTTTGCTTTAAGAAGGGCAAACCGTATCCCCACCTGCAAACTTCTCTTTTTAAATGTTGGGAGCTAAATCTGTGATACCTTACCTTGACAATAAAATGGGGCTATGATATTGTAAAACCAAACATTTAAAAATCAAACACTAAAAGTCCATTTAAACCTCAATCTGCCATAGGTGGAGCACGCGAAAAGAAGCAAAATGATATAAAACTTGTTGGCCCCAAGGGAGCCCTCAGTTTAACCCTGCCTCAGCTTTCAGTGACATAATAAAAGGTGGATTAACACTTCAAGATTTAAAAATGTCAGGGGATTTTCAAAACCTAAGAGACCCCAAATATGAGGATAGAAAGTTGGGGACAAAACAGTTTTCATCTTTAAGTGCCCTTTTCCAACCACACAACAAGGACAACCCACAGTTTTTACCCAGAAAATTTAGCTGTCAGAGAGAAAATTTGCCAAACCTCTTCAGATCTAGGGCTGGGTATTTTCACCAAAGTACTGAATCAAGTCGATTTTGATTCATACAGTTCTAAATCGATTAATTTCGATTCGATCTGTTTTTACAATAATGAAAGTGGTTCAACTGTGTTTCAAAGTATTTTATTTTTTCTTGTCATAAACACAAAGTGCAAACTTGTAAATCAGATAGTTTAAACTTGAGATGTGAACAAAACTGTCTCATAAGTGCAGACTTGTTTATGAAAAGTGAAAAAGTGAAGCCTCACTCACTCAGACATGCATGAGCTGCATTAACTTCACTGCACAAACAATATTTGCAGCATTGTCTTTAACAACTACAGGGTGTTTGCTGGTCAGCCCCCATTTGTTAATGTCTTCAGTCAACCTATTGGCTATATTTGCAGCTGTCTGGCTTTAAGTAATCTTGAGTGCATCTTTCCTGCTCATTTGAATGTGAACGTCATGTACTAATCGATCGCATTTCCTAGACATCGATTTTGCAAAAATGTAAAGTATACGATCAAAAATCAGATAAATCGATATTTTTTACCCAGCCCTATTCAGATCAAACACGAGATTGAAGTAAACAAACATGGGGAACAAATGGCAGACACAATGACTGTATTGTATTGGCTTATTGTGTGAAAAAGTAGAAAAAGAAAAGGTGTTGGTCATATCAACGGGCATTTATTTCTTTGCTATCATTCATTTAAATCATTTAAAATGTTTATTGCTTTAGAGACTAAATATACTGTTTCCAAGCAAGACTACTGACTGAGGCTGCTCATAATGAAGAGAGAAGATAAAGAGAGGATGATTTTTGTGGAATATTGCTTCCTCAGGGACACCACACATGATAGGATATCAGGCCAAGACAATCTTACATGTTGGATTTTCCCGATTAGCAATCAGATGGGTCTCATTGTTCTTCAAAGGAGACCTGATCACTTTTTACACACTACACATGGCAGGATTATGATAGGATAATCTAGGCCGGTGGCCTCTCTGAAGGAGAAGATCAGAACAGAAATTGGCATGAATAGCTTGCTGTGTGAACCACACCCAACTGAAAAACCTCTGTGGTGTCACTGAAAACCTTTCTCATTGAAAAAAAAAAAAGCAGATAAAAATTAGAATCATGATAAGGTGATAAATCTCATTGGTCATTTTTATAAATACATTTATTTTCTTTTGAAGTTCTTTTAGGTAAACGACTTTTTGATTTTTCCATGTTTGATTTCACAATAACAAATCTCCTTTTCAGTGTCAGTGTAAACTGTGTCTGACATAGCTCCATAGATTTTTAGGCCAAGTGCAGACCTACTCTTTCTCTAAACACAGTGTGCAAAGTGACATCAAAGCAGTTTAGCTTTGGCCTTATTTGAACAGGTTCTTTTTTCCAAGTATCTTTCTGGCTTGTTGAAATCTTCTGTACCAAGCTTTCAGCAAAATTCAACCTGGTTTTCTGGAACTAAACTTGAATATTGATGAGCTAAGCAATACATCTGTAACCCTCACTAAAGTTAATATAGTGACTAATGTGTTTTGATGATGATTTGTAATTGTAAAATACTAGGATTTTTTCTGAGGGTTGGTGTGAATTTTAACTCAGCAGAACTTGTAGAAATCTAAATACTGGGAAAGAGTTGCTTATTTTTATTTTGTTAATCAATATTATTGCCATTAGTATCCCAAAGGCCTATTTCAAATGCAATAATTGTTTATAATTAGATCCAAATGCATTGAAGTTCACCAATATAAAATGGCAATATGAAGTGGCAATAACATATTCAGCGTCTCAGATCTAGTTTAATCACAGTGAATGCCACATCTGATGCATATTGCAGTGTCTAACATACCAGCTGACACAGAGACAGATGGAAGAACTGTTAAAAAGAAATATATTTGGTATAAATGTATAAATGTATTTTTTTTTTTTATCTGATTTAATGAAAGATACAAATCTTTAAACAGGAACTGACATGTGAAGTTTCTCTTTAAGCTGAAAAAAGTTGGTGTCATGTGCCCACAATTTCATTTCTTTACTAAATGTTTAAGAATATTGATAATGCTAGCAGTTATGTAAACTTAAAGAAACATATTTCACTAATTTTCAAATTTTCTGAACTAACAAAATAAATGCAAAGTTAATGGGCTTACCTGTTGTCCACTGTAGTCTTTAGGATGTTTATGAACTCCTGGTATCCAGGAAACTTTGACGTGACAATTGAGAACACATGCCAGTCATACTCTTCCATAATGTTCAGCATTAACAGAGCCTCCTGCTGGATGGAAGCCCCAAACTGGAAGAATGTTGACTTCACATCCTGTCAAAATGAGGAATGAAGAGAAAGATGGGGAAAAAGAAAGGTGGATTAGTTTGGGTATTCATTTGTATTTTTGTTCCATTTTCAAAATTAATCCACCAGGTTCAAACTACATCACAGAAACATCCATCAAACACAGGGCATTTAAAAGTTGGCACAAGGTGGGTACACACTCTCCAGCTCCCTCAGCTATAGGCATAAAAACACATGCAGATACTGAAAGTAATACGCTTCCTGTGAAGGAAATATATGGACGAGGGGCTCCGAACAATTCAATTAAGACGAAATTGGATTGGTGCGGTACAGACAGGCTGCAGAACTCTGGGCCTTGTTCTGGGGAATGAGAGTTGTACTCACTAATATCCACTCCATTAAATCTGACAGAGAATCATTTGCCACTTAATTCAGCCAAACCCAGACATGAGCTTGGACAGTGCAGAGAAGCACCATTAGATGTGTAAAATGTGTCCTTTCATTTAAGTTAAAATTGTGCATTTCTTGTATGAACCCAATGAAATACACTCAGGATGATTAAACACTGGTAGAGGAACAGTTTTTGCTAAGTTTTTCATATATATAATTTGTCTAGGTGGCAACACATTGGTACTGAAAATACAGCCATAGCTGTAACTTTAGTGCATTGCAGAATTGGAAACAGCTTATATCTAGCAGTTACTATGTCAGTTTCGCAGTAACTGCTAAATGTTATCGCTCAGACAATCACTAAGTATAAGTTGTTATGAAATGCTTTTATTGTTTCTGTCTCCCATATATACACCTCCTGTTTAGTTAGTCTTTGCTGGATCCCCTTCATTCTTCAGGTGTCTTCTAGGTTATTTTTGGTCGCTGAGTTTTCTTGTCGATCCATTCTGGACTATGGATTTTTGGTATTTTTATTTCATCATAAAATTTTGCAAGTATCATCTCTGCCTATCCTAATCTGCATTTGGGTCCACTACAACATGCTCTAACCCTGAAAGAAGGATCCAAGAATAAGTAACGGAACAGGGATCCATTTCATGAAGCAAATTTACAGAAAACTCTAAGTTGTCTAAACCTGAAAACAGGGAGAGTCTGACTTTTCCAATTCAAAAAGAGAGTTTATTAAACCTATGTTTCAGTCATCGTAGTAACATTCTCCCCAGAGCAAACCTGTTCAGCAGCAGGTTTTTTGTTCTTTAAACCTGGTGTGTCCTCTGTCTCCGCTCTCCTCAAAGCAAATCATGTTGTTTTTTATCCTGATTTAGTCCTGATTTTTGTTTTAGTTTTGTGCATAAAATATAAATATCATTCAATTGGACTGTTACACACTAAGGTACACAGTAAGCTAAAAAGAAACATTGCATGATGAGGATCTTATTAAAGGATGATTGCCAGTTTTTCATAGAGAATTAAATATTTATAGGGAGAGGATTCTACAACTCTTGATATGGCATGAGATTCATTTGTTTTTGGTCTGTTTAATATGAGAGATATGTGGATCATTTCATTTTTATTTAGTTATATTTACAGTGCATGAAGATCTGAAATTATTTTCAGATCACACGTATATAGATTCATTAATTCCGCGGGGTGAAAGGAATTACTTTAGGATTAGGATTTATTGGATGATAACAACCTAATGAGCCTACTGGTACAATCTGACAGCATTCTATGGGACTGATAGCCACTATTAACAACCATTTATTGGGATGATAACATCTGAAGCGCTGCTACAAACAGCCACTGATTTACTAAGACTGAATCAACATGAGGGACATATGAAATGATCCACCGGTTCTATATATTAGAACAATGTTGTTTATTCTTCATCATCACCTTCTGCCAGAAGGTTTAAAAAAATAATCCCGTAATATTTTTCTAGAAAACACTCTATGGCAAGCCATTTTGATGAGTACTACTTTTACTGAATATGTATTCCTGATATCTGAAAAAAAACATTTCTTACTTGTCTAAGTGACCACTTCAAGCAAAGTGACATTCTCCACATATAGAATAAACATTCTGGATGTCTATAAATTATTTCAGATTTCCATATTCCTAATATTGTCAGCATCTGTACCATTTTTTTTTTCAGTTATCATACATACATTTTCAGTGAAGCTGAAAAATGTCAGAATGACCAATTAAAATGTGTAAACATTTGTATATATATAAAACTTAACTCTTACTAGTATAACTGTTTTTTTTGTTTTGTTTTTTTTTACTTTCTAAAATTCTACAAAAAACATGTCATTTAGAAAATATGCTATTACGTTTAGGTCTGGGAGTGTAGTTTTGATCAGGAAGAATCTTATCAATCTAATCAAATCTGTGTTCCACTGATAATGGCTTTTCATACTATTTGCACACACAACTCTGACTGGACCTCTTTGTTGATTATGAGTTGACCTAGTTAAAATTGATTTAACTAATTAATAGCAGCCATTGTGAAACCCAACACTCAGAGTTCCTGTCTTTTGGCTAGATCAATTTAGAGTTGCAGATTTTAATCTGAATTTGTTAAACCTGCTTCTTGAAACGGACCGCAGGAGGTGTATGCATGGGAGACAGAAACAATGAGAGGACTAATTAGCTAAAAGGGGGCAGGTGTAAATAGAGTAACTAGCACTAGAGGATGCAATGACGTCACAGGCCAGCGTGCTCTATGTTTACAGAAGTAAACATGGATGGTAGGGCCGGCGCAAATCTAGCAGCATTTTCCGACAATAAAAACTCAATCTTTTCAATATGGTTAAACAAACATACTGCTCTCTGCATCATCATCTGCCAATTTTTGTTGTTTTTCTTGCCGCTTCTGCGTAGCAAGACGCAGAATAGTTACCTTTGTCGGGTATTAATGACGTTCAGGTCGGATGAATTCGACCTGGCTGTTCAGACACAGGTCGCATTTGAAAAGATCAGGTACATATCGGATTCAGGACCACATAGCCAAGTGGCCTGGGTCAGAATGGAAAAAAATCGGATCTGTGTTGTTCAGACTGCCATGAAAAGATAAGATCCAGGTCGCATATGGGCAGAAAATCGGATTTGGGTCACTTCAGGCTGCAGAGTGAACGCAGCCAAAAAGTAACTTGAGAAAAACCTAAATAAGGCTAAAGGGGAATAAATATAAAGACTACAAAAAAGGAATGTACAAGGGAAAAACTAAAGGAAAAGTGAAGGGACTGGAGATAACTGAAGCCATGGAAAACCAAAGCTAAAGGAAAAGAATAACTATTACTAAAACTAGACAAAGGAATAAACAAAAACACAAATGTTGAAGAAAAGAGATAACTAGGAAGAGCAAAACTAAGAATACAAGAATGATCCAAATCTAGACAACACAGAACAAAACAAAACAAACTTGAGAATTCAAAAAATAAAAACTTACACAAAAGGAAAAGGTCCAACACATAAGATCATAACAGTTAGAGATTATTAAAAAAAAAAAGATTAAAGAAACTAAACAAATAAATAAATTGACAATATACACATAACCATGTTAAGCTGGTCAGGATGAGCAATCAAGCACCTGTTTAAAGTTTAAAGGATATTTTTTCTGACACTTATGTAGTGTTCAAATGTGGGTGTTTATAAAGCTGTTATTTGATTTTTCAATTTGACTTAAAGATGTGTCAGTTTTAATGGACGTTCAAGAAAGACAACACAGCTTGTATTTCAGATTATATAAGCTTTAAATGGGTCTGACATCACAAGCCTGTCTACTTAAATCATTCTAGAGCCTAAAGAGTTGTCATAAAACTTCATTATGATCCATAAAATTTGACAATAAAGGTGTGCACTGCTCATATTAAAATGTGATGAATGTAAAGCATTTTTTGTTTTTGTAATTTATGTTTCTTGCAACTGGTTCAATACCTGATTATACATACATATGTGTTATAAGGTTTAATGAAAAATATTGCTTAACTTTTGCAAATATACACGCAGAAAGTAATTAGTTTGCAAAGAAGTTGGTAATATCATAACAAACAGATTGAACAGGACAGAAAAAATGTACATCTCAGCGGGTTCATACAACAGCAGCACTTATATTACTGAATTTCCATTTTCCATTACAGCAAATTCACACATTTCATACATGTGTTTCCACAGGGAGAAATGAAGTAAAAAGTCGCTCCCAGATGGAGTTTTAATAGAGTGTGCAAGTGCAAAATGCTTTTTCCTAATATTTAAAAAAAGAAACAAAGAAACATTGAGAAAATTTACATGTCTTTGTTTTTGGTAATGCTCTATTGAGTCATTCTTTCCTTATTTATAACCTAGCTTTTGAAATGGGAATTCATTTTCTGTCACATAGATAAAATAAGCAAACAGATCCCTGTTTCATTCGTTCTTCTGTACATAACAATCCTCAAGTGCTCTTTAATGATATTGCATCTGTAAGTGAGATTTCCTCACTCTCTGCTCAGGCTCAAGTTCTCTTTGGAGAATTTGTCACAGTGGAGCTATATGCATTTGGGTGTGTGTGTGGGCTAAGATGTGGTAGAAGCTGATGCAAGCAATGGTTGAGCATTGTGGCACAAGAGGGAGGTCATGGTGTAAGACTTGTCAGTCGCTGTGTTCGTCACATGAAGCAGCAGAAGAAGCACGCACTTAGAGCTGTAATATATAGAGAGCTGTTGAGCCATACATAGAGTATACAGAATGACTTTTCTATGTTACTATCTATTTAATTAAAAAACGTTTCATTTTTTTGTATTTTCTGTGGGTAACTTTGACAGTGAAACCAGCACCAAGCCAATAATTACACACTTTAGGGCATATAGACTATTAATAGTGAGGATGACTTGCTAAGGTTAAAACAGCATCATTATGAAGAAGAAATGCAATGTAAATGCATATGAAGATGATGTGGTTGGCCTAATTTTTTTAGAAACTGCTCAGGGTCTACTGGGATTTTTTTTGGACAGATATCACTTATTTTTAGAAGAAAGTGTGGTGCTAAAAGAGAAAATATCCAGGCACATGCAGTTGTGTGCTAAAATGTCAGGGCT